TTTTTTTTTTTACTTAAAACTAATCGAAAACCACATTTTTGGGCAATTAAAATAAAAAACCACTACTGTAAGGAGAGATTAGTGATGTTTTATCAATTAGGGGTGTTATTTTCTGTGCCCGGCGGAGGGGGAAGCAGGAGCCCGCGCGCCCAGGCAGGACAGCCACCAGCCGCCGCCGGCCCCGGGATGGCGGCTTCTAACCGGCCAGGCTCAGATTGTCTGCCTCGGGCGCCGCTGCGTGAGGCCGCCCGCGCGCGACCTGCAGCAGGGCCGGCCGCGAGCAGAGTGCTCCCCGACGGCCCGGAACTGAACGGCGTTGGGGACGGGCGGCCCCGCGCGGCGAGCGGCAAGCCTGGCGCGCCCACAGCTTCGCTTCTCTGCCATTGGTCATCTAGCTATCGCTCCAAAAGCGCCCGCTTGCTGGTTGGGTGCAATTCCAACTTTTGTATCCACACTGGGTCGTTTTGCTGTCATTCAGGCTGGGGGGGTGGGACCAGGAAGAACCGCCCCGCCCCTCCGCCGCACTCTTGTTGCTGCCTCACCTCTTCCTGTGCGTCTAGGTGCTGGGCGGTGCCGGCAGGAGTCCCTCATCTCCGCCTGGTGATTGGCTGGGCCTCGTCCGCTGTGTTCTTGATTGGATAGTCTGCCTGCCACTCCCAGCCACGGGCCGAGCCTGCAGGTGGTTCCGCCCCTACCGAGATGCAATTGGTCACGCCTGCCGAGCTTCTTTCCTGATTGGCCGGGCGGGCCGCCACTCAGGGGGCGGGGCCTCAACGAGCGTGGCAGCAACGGGAGCGCCCAGGAGCGCAGTGAGCCCCGCCCGCGCCCGCCGCTGAGGAGGAGGAGGATGAAGATGACCGTGGACTTCGAGGAGTGTCTGAAGGACTCGCCGCGCTTCAGGTGCGGCCTGGGGGTGCCCCGGGACCCCCTCCCAGTCTCCGCCCTCGGCGCTTATCAGCTGGGCTGCACTCTTCTCCCCGGGGAGGCCCAGCCGCCACCCGCACGG